AATTGATGTTGCTCATTATTGTACTATATTTATCATAAAAATTTACGATATTTAATTCATAAATGTAACTAAAAATTCGTCAACAAATACTTTAATATATATCTCACACAATAGACGTACGTATTAAGAGATACATATGTTTATCTCTCAAAAAAGTGGATCAAAATGACATGAATTCACAAAATTTGAGTTTTAATTATGAGATAAAAAAAAGTATCTCACACAACTAAACTTAGTTTATTTGAAATACATAATAGAAATTTACAATAATTTTCAACTCTTTGTCGTTTAGGATGATTTGATGGATTCCAAACAAGCTTTATTAGATTATATTCTTGCAATTCAAATTAGGCCTTTTGTGGAAATTTTTTATTTATTGATTTTATCCAATCAAGAGTTAGGCTGGTACTGTTGTAGTAAGGTTTGATAATTTGGAGAATCCTTGTTTGTGTTGAGAAAACCCAGCATTCATATGATAATATAACAATGGAGAAATTATGCCGAATAAGTAAACATATACTAGTTAATTAGTTAACATAGTTATAATTTTAGTTAATTTACAATTCACCACTAACATTTAGCGTTAATTACGTCGACTTCAATTCGTATAATTCGCCACGTTTGTATAATTCGCCACTAACAATTCTTCGTTTGATTTGAATTTGTATATGACGGTGATTTCCTTTTATTTTTCACTTTTATCATCAGATACATTCAATCTTTTTTGTATAACTTTTAAAGTTTGTATAAACGTGTAGTTTCAGAATTTGTATTCGGAATTTGTATCACTTTTGTATAATGTAATTTTTCTAATATAATTTGTATAACTGATTAAAGTTCAGATGTTTGTGTTTGTATAAATTCGTTATTTCAAATTTTATCATATTTGTGTAATTTCATAATTTGTAGTACTCTGAAAATAGATCCAATTTTAGATCTACAGTTGTACCCATATTTGTACAAATCTATGTTGTATGTAGTTATTCTATTTGTATATTTATACTTGTATAAATACGGATAAAAATAACTCAATTATATAAATACACATGAATTATACAAACGTACCCGCAAATTATTCAAACAAGGTGCGAATTATACAAATGAGTAAGCTATAGCTACAATCCGTAAATATGCAAATTATATCTAAGGAGTCTATTTAAGTTTATTGTAGTGGCTATTTGCGAAATTTCCCCAATTAACAATTAACAATTCCATATGTGTATCCCTCATTATATTTGGTGTATATCACTATGTATATTCCACTATATATCCATTTATCTCTTGTCATTTGTGTGTGTCAATGAAAATCTACTTGTGATATACACTGACATACGAAACATATAAAGTCATATACATATATTGAAGTGATCACGTCTATCATATATGTTTGTGATGCATACTGATATACATGATATACACATTAGATATGTACATGTCACAAGTGCATTGATTATTTTCTCTAAACTAATCCAAATCACCTCTAATCTTCCTCAAATTTTATTTATAAAATCATCCATATACTTTCAATCTATTCCAGCAACACCCTCTCACACTCGTTCAATCAAAGAAATTAAAATCACAACAATGTTAAATTAAAAAAATGTTAATTTATTTTTATTTCAAAAATATTCCACGTAACGATGAAATTCACTCATAATAAGGTTCGGTGAGCTAAGTTTAGGAACTAGGGCAAACTTCTATTCTATACTTGTCTCCTTCTATTTGTATCTTGACATAAAATTTATTATTTAATTATAGTAAATTAGCACTTGTTTTAGTTTCAACTCTAAGCATGATTCGATGCATATAGATCTTAGTCCACAATTTTTTGGGGGAAGTTTACGTTACACATTAAAAAGAGACCTTATATTTATTCGAAATAATGATTGTTTAAAAAAATTATATAATATAGCAATAGGTTGATTTGTTTGTATATTATATACAAGTGACGACACTTATTATCCATGCAAATGTAATAAGGCAGAAATATTGTATGCATATGAAAATATTTTTTAATCGTACGATATAATGATTTTTGTTATTATATTACTTTACAGCGTGGATGCAACGTATTCCTCTATAGAGATATTGTATATAAATAAATACATTTATTATGCTCACGGATACATTGTATTGCAAATATTATTATGCGCCTAAATATATATACCATGTATATTGCTCAGGCAAACGGTCAGTGGCGGAGCCAAAAATTTTAATATGGGGGTTCAAAATCTGAGAAGTAAACACACAAACTAGTGGAAGGGGGTTTGATATCTATTATACATACCTAAAAATTAAATTTTAACCATGTATAAATAGTAATATTTTTCGCCAAGGGGGTTCGGATGAACCCCTCATTATATATTGCCTCTGCCCCTGCCAACGGTCCTGCTTCACTTTATACTAAAAGAGTGTGATTGGGTCTGACTCTATTATAGAGCTAGTACACCGAGCAACTTCGAATTGTGCAGATACAAACTATTGTTATTTTGTAAAAACACAAACTATCACTTTATTTCATAATTAGAGGTGAAGCTATAGCTTTATATGAAAATTTCTCTATTTCTTTTTTTCGACTGTCCCCCCAAAATAGGTAGGTTTTAAGTTAGTAAGAAATAGCGGCTATTTTTTATTATCATGTAGTTTTAAATTTCGCTAATAAAATTTCAAAATATACTTATAAGCCATGTGTCCATGACATTCTTTTTTTCTCCAAAATTTGGTTTGACTATACATTGAATTGATTTTTTGAAAATTAGTTTGGAAACTTTGCATATCAAAATATAGTTTTAATTTTTAAATCTACTAAGTAGTTTTGTTTTATCAAAATTTAAAACATTAGTGATTTAGACTAATTTTGATTTAGTCATGTCTCTCTCTCTCTCTCTATATATATATATATATAAAAACTTAACTTCAAATACTATATTTTTTTCAACTCAACTTCAAATGCTATATGTTTTTAGTATCACATTTTATATATCCAAATTGATAATTCTTGTTTTATTAAATGTAAATATTGACTGTTCTTGTCTTATTATAGACAAATTAAAGTGGACTTCAATGTCACTCCATGTCAGGTTTTATATATTTTAGGTTAATAAAACCATATATTATTACTAACTCCATTATGTAGTTTTACCATTAAAATAATTAATATCACATGCTGTTTTTTACTTTTAAAACCAAAAAAAAAAATTAAAAAAATCTTAAAAGTAGAAAACTAATCAAACAACACAAAACCCTAGTCCCAGAAATTCAGAATTTATTTTCTTTATGTACTCTTTTTGTCTGCCACTTTCAAATGAGAAGAATAAGTATGAACACAACATTGTTGTAAACTTGTAATAGCACATGGAAGGTATGGAGGTCTAATTAAGTTACACATAAAATAAAATAAATATTATATGCTTTATCGATAGGAGCTATAAAAGATCAGTGAACAATACATCTTGTGTTAAGTAGGGTCAAGGACGTTAGGGAAAGAGTCGCAATCTAAGAGATGTGATGTAGACAATCTATCTTAACACAAGTATTACTGGTTACTTTCACTGTTCAAATTCTTAACCTATAGGTCACACGAATACAACTTTACCATTATTTCAAGATTCTTATTCTTTAAGAGTAACATCTATGCCAAATATTTCGTTTTAAAAGTATTGAAATGATTAATGTAGTAAAAATAATTAAACCATTTCACGTGATATGTTTTTCCTTTTGGTACTTAAAATATGATAAATTGAAACCTTTCATGAAAAAAGATACGTAGAATTATTACATATTAGTAGTATATAATATTATATAATAGTGAGATATGTATTCTTCTATAATGTTTTAAGTACGCAATTATATGCATTAGTTAAAAATCTCGCTAATTGATCTTATTATATTTTAAATTAATAATTTAATTCGATGTTGTTTAAGAAGAATTTCGAATGTATGTATAAATTAAATAAATCAATATAATGAGCAACCTTGCAATGAATAAAAATAGAAATATTTTGAAAATCATCGAGGCATTCAAATACAAATAAGTAAAATCTATTGGAGGATCCCCATCCACACTTAAATTGACTAAATCTAATACAGTGAGTCTTGTTTCGATGTGGAAAATCCTCAAACTTCAAGAAAAATGGTGTTGATTTTGTATAATCTATGAGTATCATTCACTAGATCGTTATGAACTTATAAAACTATGGGTCAAATAGGGTCGATAAATCATATTCTAAAAAATTCAAAAAATAATACACACAAAAAAATTAAGATAATCTTAAATTTTGGTTTCTTGACTCCAAAACTCTAAAAAGTGGTGTTGATTCTATATAAATTATGAATATCGTTATCGCAAATGGAACTACAAAATTTGCGATACATTTAAATGAAGTACTATAGTAAAAGTAGATGTATAATAATTATTGGTTTTCTAAGGGTTTAAAAAAAGACTAGATACTATGAATACATACATGATAAAATTCAAAAAAAAAAAAAACGATCAACAATTTATTATATTGGATTACATTAATTCATACATAATATTTACACCAAATCAACATATGCAGATCATATATTTGAATCTAAAGTTCCTTTTTTTCTTTAAAGTTATATTGTTGTTCCAAAAAAGAAACTGACCAACGATTTATATTGGATTAAATTAATTCACACTCGATATTTAGATCAAATCGACACATGCATATATATATTTGAATCTAAAGTTCCGTTTTCTTATTTATTTAACCATGATAATTTATATTGATGTGTTTACACCTTTGAGCTGACAAAATGAGAATCATATGATATGACAATCCATACAAGGAACTATGGCAAAAATAATATTTTAACTAAAAAGTAGTATTTTTCTAATTATAATATTGATATTATCAAGACCCCATTCTTATGCTATTCAACCACTAAAATTTGTTGTTACTCAGACAAAAAGGTGGGGATCACAAACCGACCAACCCAACAAAAACCCAAAATTGTGGACTATTTTTGCAAAATGATTGTCATTCAATATATAATTGAATACTATTTGTATAATAGATTGACATTATTGTTATCATATGTCCATGTACATCCCAACTAGAAACAATACTTAAAATATAAAATAAAATTAAAAGATCGTTGAATTAATATTCACCATCACTATTTGTGGTCAATTTTCATACGTTGATATAGTGATCGATCTTTTTATCACACTCTTTCATAGTCAATGAGCCTCTGTTTTACTAGTAAGGTACTAGTACGGACGTTAATGACTTTTACACTACAAGAAAAGTGTGAATTACATGGGAATTTTTCTGGGGATTAGTATGAAAATCTGTAGGAAACTTATTTTCCTGCAAATTTTTATACTAATTCCGAAGAAAATCCCCATGTAATTCACCGTTTTCTTGTAGTGTTATTTGATCGATATTTAACGTATAGGAGCTCTTCTAGGAACACCTTTCCTTTTGCGCAAATTCTTCTTTGGTTTCAAAGGTGAAATGCACCATGTTTGAATTACCTCCGATGACTCATTCAAAGAGATACAAGATTCATTTTCATTTGAGTGATCAAATTTCGTAATTTGATTGGAAATGTAGTTCTTCTGACGTTCTTTGCAAATATTTGCATCGATGGATACCTAGAATGAATTTTCATAGAAATGAATTTCATTAATAAGCAAATAAAATCGACGAAAATGAAATCAAATATTAAATATGGTGAAGTAGAAATAATTTACTTTGCAAGCAATGGAGCAAAATCGATTTGGTAAATCTTGAAGGTGTCTCCCACAAGCTTCACAAGTTACATTTCCCTTTAATTTTGAAGTTTTGTTATCTTTAGATTGAGGACGTGGATTTAGATGTATAGCTTTTTCACCATTAATCTTGTAAGTCTGCAAAATTAATAATTAAAATACAATTAGATAAAAATATATACTGCAAAAAATTGAAATTAGTACTAGACTTAACACCTAAATTGATCGTAGCTAACAAATATTTGTGATAATTTATAATTAAATAAGATTAGTGACAAATTTTTATATACACGCCAAAAAATTTATGTTTAGTTACAAAATTTATGCCTCACAAATTATTATTTGAATAACATTGTAATTAATGGGGAAAAAACGTGTGGTTTCACTAAACAAAAAATGAATATCAAATTTCATATAGGATCTACATTAGAGTGAATAAGCATATATAATTATCGTGTAAAATTTAGTACTAATTAATCCGTACATTATTTGATTTTTTTTACAGATTATAATATTTACAGAATGAACATACCTAATGTCTGACTATATAAGAAAATAATGAGATTTTCTAAATATTAATTATAACTTTACAATCATATAGTAGTAATTTACTAGTCTGAATAATTGAAATTAGTTATAATTTAAGATATTAAAATAAAAACTTGATAAAATAAAGAGACGTAATGCATTACTACGTTACTATAGTACAAGACCATTATAAATTTTATATCAAAAAGAATTGAAAAAGATATTTAACTTTATATAATACATTTTTAACTATAACAAATTATTTTATATTTTTGCTAGGGCTGTTTAGTGAGCAAACTAATTAAGTTTCTATCTCTCTTTAATTAATTAGTACATATACTACAATGATTCTGATTGTTTTTTTTCTTTATTTCTAGCTCTATATTTGTTGTAAATACACTACATTTGGATGAATTAATAGTTAAAATGTTAACTATATCGCTAAAAAGTGATTTTCTTGAAGAAAAGAAAATATATGAATAAAATCGATTTAAAATATTAATAATATCTTATTAAAGTTTGGCTTTTCACCATGGAACATTATGAGCTAATTTTGAATATATGATCTAAGTTAATTACCATTTTAAACCAAACAATATCACTATCTATAATAAGAATTTACATGTAATTATTCTACATGTAAGTTAAGTACCATTTTAAATCACCAATCAATATCTATCATAGAAATTTACCATAATAGTAATTATTATTATTTAATAAGACTTGACTCTACCAAAAATATTAAACTATAATATGTGATATCAAGGTAATTGCCATTTTAAATCATCATCAATATTTATCCTATAAATTTACCTAATTACCTTATAAAACTTGATTATATAAATATATTTTGGGCTTTTTTTTAGAGTGTTAGTGAGCCTAGAACTCAAACTCATTTTTAACACACACAAAAACCAAAATTTAAGATATCACTAGAAACACAAACATGCATGAATTGACTAATTAATCAATTTAACTATAAAAAAAAATTTAATTAGATCAACATTCAAAAATCATACCAAAGTATTACTATAAATTATAATCATACGAAAAAATATGTTTTAAAATATTGATCAAAATTTACGTAAATTGAATCTCAACGAGCAAAAACCAATGAATTCAACAAAAAAAAAAACATACCTGAATTTCAGAACAATTTAGATGTTTCTGAATCTCATGAAGTCTAATAACATCGTGATAAACGTATTTGCAGATTTGAAGCCATTCATGGAAGCAATGCGACGAAGAAGATACGCAGTGTTTGCAGAAACAGAGATTACAATCAATACAAAACATATTCTTCTCATTTCTTCTCAATTCTCTGTGATATCCACACGATTCGAAAAACTTTATATTCAGCAAATTCTCAATCCAATCTACTCCATTCATCACTCGAATTTTACCTCCAATTAGCTTCACAAAAACAACAATCGTATCATTGAAATTGAAAATTTAAGATCTGATAACAGTTTAAAATCTAAAACAATTACGCATAAAATCAAATTGAAAACATATAAATATGAAATTTAATTGATATTACTAACCATTTTTTTGTGGAGTTTTTAGTGAAATGGAAGAAAAAGAGGAAGATGATGATTTTTATTTTATTTTTTTGAGTAGAAGTGGAAAACAGAGTTATTATTTTTTTTCTTTATAAAAAAAGCAGTGGGAAAAGTGAAGGAATGATGGCCGTCTGATCATTTAAATAGGGGCCCACGTCAGGCGTAGTTGTTAGGTTTTAACTGTTGGATTTTCCCGCCAATTTCGGCCAATGCTTTCGGAGTTATGGAGGCGGCCGTCTTTGTCTTTTGAAAAAACTCTCTATATATATATATAAAAAAAAAAAAAAAAATATTTTATGGAGATTTTGTACTAAAAAATATTATTTAAAAAAGGAAAAGTAATATTTGGGGATAAATATCAAGAGTCATGGTTGTAATATTTGAATATTATGGGTTAAGATTTTAAATTTTATGATAATTTATTGATTTATTGGGTTTAAATTCTATTTTTATAATACATATATATTTTATGTATTAATGATATATTTAGTGTAATTTTATGCATAGATAGCTTGACGGTGAAATTAATAAAGTGTTTAGTTTTAGGCACCCACAATATAGAGGCTCAAAAAAATTTAATAGTTAATTTTATTATTATTTTGTTTCACATAATATAAAATTGAAGATGGTAAAGAAAAAATTCAAAACTTCTATAAGAAATGAAAGAAATATTTTAGAACTTTGGAATAAATAACTGAAATTTTTATCTTAAAAATAGAGTTTTCAAAATAACATCCAATGTAATGTATTGCAAACACGTGACTAATATGTTATTAACTAGAAATGATGGTTAATTTTATAAATAATGATATTATTATGTGAAGTTAATTAACGACTTCATGTCGTATGAAAATACTACCCTAAAACAATAAGTGTCGCTCCCCATTTTTTCTCAAAACGGATTTTGTGCAGGACCTAACAACTCTTTTTGAGTTTAGAATAGAAAGGTTGAGTGGAACGAATTTGGACCATTGGATAAGATGGCTTGAGCGGCTAGGATTAGTTGTTCGATTTGATCAAAGCGATGGACGGACGAGATTTTAAAAGAATGGGTCTTGAGAATTGGATTGGCCATAATTGAAATCGAAAATGGTTATAATTGTAAAAAAAAAATAGAATTGAAAGGAATTAGAAGAGAATAGGCTGAAATTTAAATGATCTGGTAGAACATTAAGGAAATGTTATTCAATTAATAAAATACTACACATATTATAATATTTTCACACTTAAATTTTAATACATTTGAGTAAAATAAGTATTTTGAGTTTAACTATCGATAAATATAATAATTTAACAATAATAAAAATAATTTAATTATAATAATTTTGGCAAATTATAATAAATATATACTTATTTAGATAAAATTGATTAACATTTTAAACACAAAATATAATACGTATTTAATCGAATAGCACTTCGAAAGGGTTATCGGTCCGTCAAAATTGGGTGTCAACAATAAGTATGCAAAAATAAAATAAAAACAACTCTAATTTATTTGATTATATATATATTTGTATATATTTAATAACCGTTAACAAAATTTAGTGTTTCGTCAGATCTTTGATTTTCAATAAACACTAGACTCAAGAAAAAAATACATCAAGGTCATTATTATAACGTAAAATAAGATTTAAATATTATAATATCATATTTGGAATTTTATAAACTCAATTAACAAAACATTTCTACACGTGAGATTTTCTAATTTAGTAAGGCTATAAGATGGTTAATCAAAACAAAAAGATTGAAAATAAAAATCACTAAAAGAAGGACAATCTAATTTCTCTAAAAAATTAAGGTTTTGAGTTCCGAAATTCAAACTTCGAGATCCAAACTCCAATGCAAACTCAGGAAGATGAAACCCAAAAGGGAAGGAAACAAAAAAAAAAGACAAAGAGAACTGAATTGTGAAGTAAAAAAATCACATTTGCAAATACTACAAAGAATAAATGTATATGAAACATCTACAAGACAGAGTTGGATGTAACAATGAACAAGATTAGCAAAACTCAAAAAAAAAAAATGCACATCCAAATACTTTGATTGAGGCATCTAAAGACAAAGCAGTTTTTGAGGCTAAGACTGTCAGAGCACTCACATAGTGAGAAGAAAAAGGAGAATTCACAATTTTGTTTTTTATAAGGAACAACCCTATATACACATTAGAAGTCAAATAAGAAGAAGTGACAACTAGCACTCCAATATTTTATCTCTTACTATTTTTTTGTTAATTTGGAAATAACTTTAAATTTTAACTCCCTCTGTATTATAGTTTTGTCATCCAATTTATTCTAATTTTTTTTTGCTTGCAAAAATAGTTTTATATTTATATTTTTGCTAAGATTTCTAGTTATTTAAGTTATTTTCAGTCTCCTAAGGCAAACACCAAAAAGCATAAAATAAAGACATGTTGTCTCAACTATTTAACAGGAAACAGGAAATACCAACATGTTTATAATCTATTTCAATTTAAACATATAATTATTTATTTATAAATTAATTTCAAGCTTTTATTATTTATTATAATAATACTTATCAACTATTTTTAATCAATTAAGCCAAATATGTTATTGTTTTATTAGGCTGCTAAAGCATGAAAAAATCACTTTATTACCAAAATAGTTTTATAAGTTTTCAATATTGACTTTTTTTTTAATTATTTGACTTAATTTTGCATGCACTTTACAACTTGTGTTACACGGATTTTCTGTTTCAAGACAATTTACAACTTGTGTTACACAATTAGTAATTAGCTTAGTAATTAGCCGGTTAGTAATTATTAGTCAAACTGATTTAACATTTCAATAAAGCTAATTATTACGTTTGAAGAAAAATTACATACTTCAAATGTCTTTATCGTACATAAATAGATTTGAAAAATCGTAGGTTATTTATTAATTATATAATAATAATAATAATAAGATTATTTATTGTGATTCTTGTGTTATTTAATTAAACATTTTTAATCTTTAATTAATTCAAATATATACTTTTGCTCCTTTTACTAGTAAATATTCACAAATTTACCATAATTGTTAGTTGTTTCAATTTAATTACTCATGTGTTATGATAAACTTATGTTATAAATTCCATTAGACGATAATATTGTTTTAAAAACAGTAATAGGACAGATATAATATAATTCCTACATCAAGGGATTAAAACACACATTTTAATTAATTAAAAGCTAAATGTATTTAGTCAACTATTACAAAGATTAAAGGAGCGAGGGACTAAAATTGCTATTATCCCTTAATAATAATATCATCATAGTAATTTTTTTTTTACTACAAAATAAATAAAAATTATGTCTAGCATGCTCATTTTCCGCCGTGCAAATAGCACAATTCATTATGGTAGTGAATTTAAAAAAGAAATTAGAAATTAATTAATATTTGTTGTCCTTTAAACATTTCATTTTATTTTATTTTCTTAATGGATCATATAAAATCCATCAAAGCAAATCTTGGTAAATGATGATTTTCACCCAAGAAAAAGGGGAATGATTTTTTGCAATAACAGCTAATTTTCATGATTAGCATTTGTTATGATTTTCTTGATTAGATTTGATGGGATTTTGGCCCCTTTTTCTCTCTACATTTTATTTTTTGTTGCTTTTTCTTGTTAATAAAAAGTGGGGAATCTTGGTTACACAAAGTGACGAAATTTTCATCAAATGCTTTTTTGAGTAATTATTAGTGTTTATAAAAATAAATAAAATGATCAATTTTATACCTTTAATGGTTTGAAAAAATGTTCCATATGTCGTACAAACTTTTTTATTATAAAACAAATTGGTTTTGTCTATAATTTTACAGAGATTTCAATGACCAGAACATATATATTTTTTTTAATGAGTGTGATGTCCGAGCCAGCTTTCGGCACCTAATTTCACGGGATATCTGCCAGGCTGCCACCACCCACCTGCAACAAATATTAGGTAACTCTGTCCATAAGGCTAGAACAAATAGGAAGAATCACCTAGTATTTTTTGTCTCCGTTGAAACCTCAGAATTCTCAACCACTTCATTGACCACTAGGTCACACCCTTGGATGCACCAGAAACATATGATAAATACAAGATTATAAGTCTTTTTTCTTCAAGGTATATACACATATGTATACTACCATGTGGGTCCTCCTCTGGTCTCGAGAGGGTGGAGCGTATGCAAACCTTACACCGTGTAAATTCCTTGGACCAAAAAAACAGCAACATTGTTCTTTTATAACTAACTAATGTTTTACATAAATTGCTAGAGCCTTGAAGGAAATCATTATGCCAAGCTCAAAATTAAAAATTATTGAGAATGAACATATCATTAAATAACAATGCTTTCAATTTTGTGAAAGGGTGAACTTAGTTATTACAAAGTGAATCACCTTAAGAAAAGAAGAATCCCTCTTCTTTCTCTAAATAAACCAAAACATAAGATTACAATATCAAATGTTGGTTTAGCAGAACATTGTAGTCCTTCATTTACATATCAAAAGTAGACTACCAAAGCATCTTAGAAGAGGTAATTGATACCATAAGACGAACCAAACGTGAGTTCATAAACAAGTGACCTGAGGATTGAGAGTCTGATAAAACGTACATTGAAGTAACTAATGAGAGTTCAGGATCCAAAAAGTGGAGGCCAATAGTTTCTCCTGTTTATCTATCATCTGTGAGTAGTAAGCAACTGAAGCTTCTCTTTGTGGTACCGTTTCCAGTATTGCTCTCGACTGTTTTTCTAGTACTACTGCAACCATGTAAAGGAAAAAAAGATAAGAATCAATGCATGCATGATCTAAAAGCTTGTTTCTGAGGAACTTAAGCTTGAAGATTATATCATATTTCAAGTTCAAAACAGTGACAATGTTGATTTATGAAGGACATTATATCTTGTGGAACTATATGCTAATGTTGAGAAACCTAAAGTGTTGAAGTCAGACCCTTCTAAACTGAGACTTTGCAGCAACCATTTGCTTATATAGGACAAACCAGTAAAAAAGGATAACCTGATTTAAACGTTAAAAAGTCTAGTTAATGACACCAAGAGGTTCAAATGACAACATTTTTATCAGAACACCCACAACTGATCAACCTAAGCAAGGAATTCAAGAGGAAATATCACCACATGCTGCAAACTGAACAAAATCTCAAACTGCTTCAAGAGTAAAATACCACATTATCTATGACTATTCCCAGTATTTCAAGAATATTACCTCTATATGTATATAACTCATATGCAATCATTGCCTTATTTCCACAGATTCAACCTTTAAAGAGAAGAAAACATGGATTGTTTTTCTTTATCTAGAAAAGATGCATTATTGACAAAACATAACATAACAAATCAGTCGTACAACAAAATACGCATGCTAAGCCATTAGTTTGTTTCAACTCTACCAAGCATGAAATTTTCCTCAAGTTTTGGTCGTCAAAAATATATATGCACATATATTTCAGATAAAAGGTATTTGAATGTCGAGCAGAAATAAAAGGAGCAGTGACAGACGCTGACTAATTATTATAATCAAAATACCAAATCGTTCAGTAAAGGCAATCTGAATAGATTAGAAAAGAAACATCTTTGGACTACTTGAAAACATTAAAAAGAAAATTAATCAGGAAACTAAGTTACTCCACAATACTTGGGAAACATTGGATTGCCCCAAGTACTCTGAGGAGCCCTGGTTTATTTTTTTATGATATAGAATTGTCTATAAATCAGGTATCTCCACAATGAAAAATACAAATATATAGAAAAATAAATAAAAACAAACAATATTTGGCCTTATTTACGATATTGTAAAGGAAATGTAGACATCATATAAGCAACTGATTTTGGTAGTAACCCATCAAATCAATTTTCGCAGTGGAAATGAAAACTTTACAATTCCAGAAAGGCATAGAAGGCAAGAACTTAAGCCCGCTACTGATCATTCCGTGTTAGTTTCATGGTTGATTGCAATAAATTACTGTAATGTGTTCAAGTTGCGTCTATGCTTGAATCTTTTTCCTTCTTGCAAATTATATTCTCTTGAGAAGATATAAATAAACAATACAAGGCTTGAATATATATTTTATATGTATATTTTCCTTAGGTTTAGTGGCATGTTTGGCTTCTTTATCAGCAAGTAGAAGAAACTCCTAACTTTGTAGGGTGCGAAATGAAAAAGCACAGTGGGAGTTTCCCGCTTTCCTGGTAGAGGCTTTGACCGTGCAACTGCCCATTACGTTTCGTGATGTATGTTAGAGAAGAAACAATACCAATCAAGATTAACTTTCTATGGTGAAAGGGAAATGAGATGTATGTACTGTTGTTGCTACCACTGCTTTTGCTGCTCTAAGTTATTAGTTTCTTCCTTTGTATGAAAAATGACATTCTTGTAATATTTTCGCTTCCTCTGTCACTTAGAATCTAGCTGTTTTTTCTCTTTTGGTTGAATGTGATCAATTGTGTGTGTATGTATAGACATATGGAAGCCAAATGTGCTTTTCCATAAAATTTCACTCATAAAGTTTATGGTTTCCCAACTTGGGAAATGTGGCTTACTTGGCCACTAGACACAAGAGTATTTCCCAACTCAACTTGATTACTAAACCATAGGCCAAGACTGTTTAGAAGGAATGTGGTTTCCATATCGTCCCACATAATCTCATATAATTATCGTTTTTACTTTTTTACTTCAGTAAACCCACGCTTCAGTTGTGCTTTGTGCATTACGCTCCAGCAGGCAAATGTAGCTTTTTGCAGTTGACAACACAACTAGAAAAAATCAAGCATGAGTTCAAAGACAAATTGGAGTTATCATTTATGTACAGTTTAGAGCCTTTAGACAGGCCACTGAGAGAATCATCAACTGTATCAGTAAGTTCTTATTAGCATTTCCTGTCCTTATAGGATATAAAACGTTCCTTTCATAAAACAGTCACCATTTTTTCATGTCAATATCATGACAAATGTTATCGCAGATCGGAGGTGCCTTAAATGCATGACTTTCTTAAACCATCAATAGGTAATTTAAGTTATTTCATTCATATTGATACTTCATTCAAAAGGAAATCACAAAAATGCACTCATAAGAGTACAACAAAATCAGCACCCAAGGGAGTGGACTGTAGCCTAGTGTTTAATAAAGTGTGTTGAGAACCATGAGGTCTCGTGTAGCAAAAACACTAGGTGAGTTCAACAAGTGTCCCATGGAATTAGTCGAGGTAAGCATAAGCTGGCCCAGACAACATAGTTATCCGCCCTCTCCCCCCTAAAAAAAAGCAGCTTCCTTTTTACTTATCTCAAACAAAAAATTCAACAAGTCATAATCCACACAATGAAAAATCAAAAGATTGTGATCAAAGTATCCGAAATCAATCTTACAAGTAGTCACCGGGGTCATTGATTATCTGCCAGCTCCTGTTGATCTGTGCCTTCATCATTTAGGTTTCCAAACTTGTCCTTGAAGGAATCTTGCCTCTGCAACCACATCATGTGCCCCTACCCAACAAATTACACAAATTGGAGGAGGATATTACAAGGTGGAGGAATAGAACCCTCGCCAACAAGGTAAAATTTCCGCAGTCAATCAACCGAGCTACTAAGATTTCTTTACCAAGCATACTTGAAATTGAAATTACCTGGAGAGCAGCAGCCCAGACAATGAGGAATGAAGCGAACCAGAGCTTCTTGTCCTTGAGGAGTTCCTTCACTACAAATTTTCTATTCTCCATTGATGAGTACCTCAAAACCCCTTGTTACTAAAACACTGTAATTTGCATATTGAAAATTGGACTCGGGTTGTATTTCTCAAACGGGTTAAATTTTATGTAAATTATACTTCACACCCATAAGTTTTATATTGTACTATTACTAAGAGTAATTATTAATCTCGCGCTCTGTACGTGTATATCCTTTATCATTTATCAATGCGTATACAATTTAAAAGAAATAACGAATGCTTAATCGTGATCATGATCAAGGTATTGCCATAGCAATGGTAAGATCGCGCCTCCTATTCCACAATCACTAAGCACAATACTCAAACTAGCTTTCCTTTAGATCGCGATTGTGGTAGGCATAATCTATTGTTCATACCATAATCTAACGGTGTCAAAACTCATCCCAACCCCTCAAATCCTAATTAAAATTATCTTAACAACTTCTATGTGATAATATTGACTTATAAAAAGATCCAAAATATAATTTGTTACGTCACTAGGACAATAGCCCTTTTCCAACAACATAAATTTCATTTATGTTCAACATAAACTTCTATAAGTAAAAAAAAAGAAAAGAATACAAAGTTATATCCAAAAGAATATTCATAACTTATTATTCCTTGTTCAATTTTGTACATTGACATATGAAAAATGAATATATGTATACACATAATATCAACTAAACTAAATGTTCAAAATGGCCTCTTTAGGTTCTTCAAGTCCAAAGAATCAATACATTCTACCTCACCTCTATGCAAATTCAACAATTTCAACAACTCACTTGCCTTCTCCTTAGTATTTTCACTACAACCAACTTGTATTAGTAACAATAGCTTTTGAAATGCACCAACTTGAAGTGCTTCATTAATAAGCACAACATTATCCCTTTTCTCAATTAATAACTTCCATAATATTGAAACTGAAAATTCAGTTGCTAAAACTGAAACTCTCAATAATTTCTTGATCAAAACAGGAATAGTTAAGGCATAATTATTAGCCCTTTTTTTCCCTTCTTGTGAGTTGCAAATTCTAGCCAAAATTCCCAATACTTTTTCACATATGCTCTTTTCACAATCCACAAGTGTCTCTATAAGCAATTCCACTAATCCCAAATCAACAAATTTGGATCTTGCTTTCTCATTTGATAATTGTGATGAATTAACCATATGGTAAATTGTTAATAAAGAAGCTTTTGTAGTTGTAGGACATATTGGCTCTTTTACTAACTTCACTAATGATTCCAAACTTCCATCAATCTTTAATAACTCTTCTACTCTCCATGTTTCTTCCATTCTCATTATTTCTTTAAGCAAAAACACTGAATTTCTCCTACTTGATAAACTTCCACATTTCAAGAACCAAATCATGCAATTTAATGATGATTTTGATCCAAGAAATGACTTGGACTCACCATCTAGAGGCAATAATATTGTCAAAGTTGATAATATTTCTTCCATTGTTTCAACTTCATAAACGGATGATTTCTCCGTAAAACCAACAAGTATAGATGATAAGATCTTCCCTGCACCATTTGCAACAAAACAACGTTTATTCCTCATACTTTCTTTTATCATCTTCCTCATTTTCATTACTAGTTCGCGACTAGACTCTGAGCCTTGCTGCAATTTGCAGCAAGACTCAATCTTCCTAAGAATCACCGTTACCTCATCAGAGGTAACGGGGATTCTTGGAGTTGGGATCCTCTCGATCCCATAATCTTTATTCACAACACACCATTCTTGGATCATTTTCCTCATTGTGTGATTAGGAATTGGCTCAAGTGTCTTCACCACTTTTTTAGTGATAGGACATGTTTGATTTCCATTTTCAATCCATGTCTCGATACTCACTCGATCATACGTGATCCCCGTCGACAACGTCACCGGATCCTTCATCAAATCTAATGAAATTGGACACTTGAAATGGCTAGGAACCATCAACAACTCCATGGTTTTTTCTTCAATTTGTTTCTTTGAGTTACTCCTCCTTGATGCTCTTTTCTTCCTCCATGTTGAAATCATTGTTTTTATATTACAACAACAAAAAGAAACAAAACTTAACTTGAACTTGAAATTAAATCTTTGGAAATGAGTTTGGTTTTATGATTTTATTGTTTGCAAGTTATAGAAATTAATAAGAGTTTGTAGGGAGTACTATGTGTATATATATGTGAGTTTGTTGATGTCACGCGGTTCAACGTTCAATATTTAATATAATTGTAGTACTATCAAAACTATGTATTATAATTTTAATAATAAAATATTTCATGAACGTGTGAGCTAAATTGAATATTGACTAAGAAAAATTGTGAAGTGTTGAATAGGAATGGGGCAAAAAAGGGGTGCTAAGAAGGTTTGTTTAGACTAGATTTTTTTTATTTTTTTTTTGACTAAAGATGTTAGGTTGAAAAAATAAAATAGAAAATAATTCAAAGGTTGGTTTAATTTTGACGGGAGAAAATAGACAAGACAAAAGACTGGTCGGTGGACTAACCTTACTCATTTGATTTTATTTTAGCGTAATTAAAATTATTAATTTTTATAATTAAAAAATTACTTTATGTGATACTTAAGCAAAGTTGGGTGATTTTTTTATTCTAGAAAATTAATAGTTTAGCAATTTTTGTGATATTTATATTAAAAAGATTAAGTGATCTTTTGTTATAAAAATAATTTAATAACTTTAGTGCAAATATTTTTATTTTTTTTATGAATTACTCCATGTATGAGGATAATATATTCCTAGTAATAATTTAATTTTTATATAAAGGAACCAAGAAACACACAATTTTTAATTATAGAGGTAATATATTGAGTCGTGTATCACAAAAATCAAAACAATTTTTTTTTATTAATAATCGTGACCAAAAATCTTATTCCGACTGTCAAATGTAAAAAATGTCAATATTTTTTAAAATAAATTATAAGAAAAGTGCTACATAAATGAAACATATGGAGAACAAAAAGTTGTATAAAAAATATAGAATTCAAAGGAATCAAACTTGTATACGCTTCTTTATTTTGGTCTACACGGACTCGCTTTACATGTAAAGTTTGGTTGTTACAAGGCTTGCAGCAAACCTAACGCGCAAGCTATGAAGTAGTAAGGTCAAAGATACTATTCCCTCCATGATCATGACCAGTATTAATTTATGCGATGTAATTTGACTTGACATAAAATTTAAGAATTTTTTTCTACAAATTGTGCTCTACTCTTTCCGTCCACTTTTTAATTGTCACATTGCGCTTTTTGAAAGTTAATTTGACTAATTTTCAAAGTGAAATTAGATTACATTAATTTGATATTTTAAACAAAAAATTTAGATATTCAAAAACTATATGAAAAGTACTATAAATTGCAATTTTTTGCATATCAATATGATGAAAAATACATCGTAAAATATTAATCAAAGTTAGTATCGTTTGACTCTAAAAAGGAAATTATGACAATTAAAAGTGGACGGATGTAGTATTATTTTTATAAACATGGAAACATCACAAGTTATGAAAACTATCAATTTTTTCTCAATTTTTACAGTCTTATCAAATGAGCAAATCATGCTAATAAATAAGATATCAAAATGTCCAAAGACATTGTATTAATAAATCGCATATTTCCATGTTCGGATGTTCCTTTTATAAATACATGTTTACGGTTGCCAAATTTCAAATACACAAAATTTATAGATCCACTGATCAATAATTATACTCCCTCCGTTCCCTTTTGTATGTCATATTTTTATTTTGCACTTACATTAAAAAATGATGTAACTTTACCATTCTACCCTTATTTAATTTTTTTGAAACTCAAGTTTTCAATTAATTTATTTTGATTAATTAATTTGACCAATTAACATGAATCATTTATTTAACTTTTCTAAGTTGGTCAAATGTATATTTTTAAAGCTAATAACTACAAGGGTAAAAAAGGAACAATATGATAATTTATACATTGATTTTATGAAATGACAAGTATATTGAAGCGTAAGAACGTGAGGAGCGGATTACCAAGTAAACCAAAAAAAAAAGGAATTGGGAATATATATTTTCTTTTTTTTCCTCTGAAAAATATAATGCATGTTTACTGCTCAACAGACTTTTATTATTTCAGTTCTATAGCGTAAACAATATTTATATAATTTAGAATATATTATATAATTCCTCTGTTTATCTTTATTTATTTATTATATTATTTTGGATTGTTCAACGATAATTGTCTAATTTATAAAATCAATCAATAATTTAACATATTGTATCAATTTTACCCTATTAAGTACTTAAATACTTCTTTTTTCAATGTTTAGATGACATATACTCTCTTCGTCCCTTTTTATTTGTTAAATTTTGACTCGACACACTTACTTGATTGGTATAGTGAATTTACCATTTTAGACTTATTAATTGATAAGGTCTCAAATATTTACTCAGTACATTTTTCAAAGACATTAACTCAATGTTAATAAATTGAGGGTATAATAGGGAAAGATAAATTATCTTTTCTTGATTTATCAAAAATGACAAATAAAAAGAGACATTAAATTAGAAAATATTTGACAAATAAATAGAGACGAAAGGAGCATTTGGTAATATTATTTCACAATGTAATATTCTTAATCTATACGTCACGTCAATAGTAAATAACTATTCCCTATGTCCTAATTGATGTGACTTACTTTCTTTTTTAGTCTGTTTAAAAAAAAATGACATATTTTTATATTAAATAATAATTTAACTATAAAATATTTATTTTACCCTTAATAAAATGATTTACAGTCATATAAATTTCTATCATTCATTTTAGATCACAAATTTTAAAAATCTTTATTTCTTTCTTAAATTTCATACCGAATCAAACTACTTCACATGAAATGGACAGATGATGGAGTACTCTATATTGGACAGAAAAAGTACTAATTTGACCTAATTAACAACTGACATGGGCTGCTTTCGAAGCATGCCTCGTGAGTCGTGTCTCATTGTGTCATATGTCATGCATGGCAAGCCTAGCTACCTGCTTCACCTCTGGTTCGAGTCTTGAAAATATAAAAAATTACTCCCTCCGTCCCATTTTATGTGGCACCATTTCCTTTTTGATCAA